TTTCAGTATTACACTTCATGTTGTTAGCCAAAAATATTAAACGCTATATCAAGTTACTGCTTTCCTAAATCCTGGCTTCATTAGCTACAGTGAAGAAAATCATTGCAAGATTTGAAGTTATGTTGGAGTAAAGGGAATTTTTCCTCTGGGTTTTTTTGCATCTTTAATTTCTGTTCTTAAAAGAAGAAAGGTTCTTAGCCTTACATATGTTATCCAAATAGGCTCTGAAAGTCAAAACTCAGGACAAGAAATGAAACTGCTGAAAGAACAAAAACTAAATACTTCCCCAAAGTCCAAACAATATTCAATGTGCTGCCATGGCCCACTTCATTAAATTCTCAAAAAATATTAGAGATTTTTATGTTATTAGCAATGCTGTCTAAGCGTTAAGAAACAGATATGAAAGAATATGCTAGGAAAATATTCTTAAAGTATTTACCTAATTGAGTAACCCTTGCTATGTTAAGATATTTTTATTAACAGACCACCTGAATTAAAATAAATGAAACACCTGAATTGTTTTACCACTTTCAGTACCTTCTAGATATGACAGTCTATGGAGAAAGCTCAGACTAAAAAAAAAAAAATTATCTAAGCCATTACTCTAAAAGTAGTTCCAGTTCCTTTAAGATTGGAGATATTAAAATGCCAGGAGAAATGAAAGCTTAAAACTTACAATAGAAGCTATTGTTATGAGTTAGACCCCGGTCCTTATAAATGCAAATATGTACAGACCAGGAGAAGAAAATTCCTTTTATTCAATGTGCTAAATGACCTAACTGAATGTTGAGGATCTCAAAGGTTGACAAGAAAGACCAAGTCCTCCTTCTTGATAGTTTCATATAGAATGTCAATAGGCCAAAAATATTAGTGCCAGCAGTTAATACAAAATAAACAATGTTGGCTGACTGGCATTGGTTTTGGTGCTTTCGCACAAATTTTGGTACCAAGTACAATATTATTTAATGTTTCACTAGTGATCTGAATGTAAATGTAAACTTAATGAGGAAAAATGGCTAAATGATAATTCTTACAGCATTAATTTTTTTAAAAGAATTTTTTTTTGCCGTGAAATGAAAAATTAGGTATCTGGGAACAAGAAATGCAAGCAGTATCAGCCAAATGGGGAACTCTCCTGAATAAAGTTCTACTGCCGAAATTTTAAAAAAATGTTAAAAGTCAATTGGAGTGAAGAAAAGAGGCATTAATATTATTTTGAAGCTGAAGAAAACTATTCAGAGGTAGGAACTTAAAGGGCTGAAGCTGTTTATTTTACTTGAAAAAGACCAAGAGGCAATTTGATCGTACTTCACAGGAAGGAACTATTTGTTACGAAATGGCTATCAGGAGAATGTACAGAAATGGGTGACCAGAACCAGAAGACAGTTAAATTTAGAAAGATATATTTTCTTTTTCCTGTAAGAACCAACCATTCAAATAAAGTACCAAGAGGAACGGCAGAATCACAGTTGCTGTATACAGAAATCAGCTAGATCTAGGTGTTTAAATCAAATTTGGATCTCTCTCTGGTATGCAGGTTTAGGTGAACACCACTCACACGCGTACTGAATGCTGTGTAACAAAACAGGAAGTTGAAAGGGGATGCTATAATATTGCTGTCTGGTTGGAACTCAGTCAGTGTGAGTGTCTGTAAATAGGGATATCTACTTCTTACCTGAAAGCAGCAGCTGCCAAAAATGTGGGTTTGTTTGTCTGTCGGAAACAGGAGGTTTTACTCTGTTGCTGAATTATTCTGCTTTTTTAAATTCTTCCGAATCTATTTCATTAGTTTCTTTCAATGACTTTAAAGAAAGAAGATAAATGTCTGTAGCACACATAGTTTTTGTTTGTCTTAACATGTCAGGGAAATACACTGCTCCCTATGGATAGATCAGTTGAAATCCATGTTTATTAGTAAAATGGGCGGTATTTTTATTTTTAGGACTATTATTTCAGATGAGGTTGAAAAATGTGCTTTTGACCTCAAAATTATCTCCCTAGTTTTATGCTATAGACATTAAACCGTTCCCTACAGACATGTATTGCGCTTTTTTGTTTTGTTTTGTTTTCCTCCAAGAGCAGTAACAGGCATGCGGCCAGGCAAGAGAACATCTTAGGGTCTTAGGTTTAGTTTTGGTCGGGGTTTTTCGGGTGTTTGGGTTTCTTGGGGGGGTTGGGGGGGGGAGGTTCCCCCCACAGTCCAGTGCTAAAACTTGAGCGCCTTCAATTTACCCACTGAGCTGCATAGCTGAATGCCCTAATGCCTTGCTAGTCAGCATTATAAACAGACAGTCAAGGCATGGGGATTCCAGTTAACACTGCCAAGTTCTACAAACTATACAAAACATTGGCTAATGATTCATTCCCAAGTTCGCTTTTCTGGTTTTTGTGGCCTTACTTGTCCCATCGCTACACAGCGTTTGCCATTGCAGTTACAGCAACATTTGTTGCATTAAGCACTCCACAACCACCAAAGGCAGCACCTACATTCCGAAAAGCATCACACTTCGGGGCTGCAGCAGTTAGGTATGAATAACGGCTCTCGCCGCTTTATTTATTTGCAATTAATACATACCCGGGAAACAATTTACTGCTGGTAAATTAGGAGCTATCTACTAATCTGGCTTCGACTACTAGCCACAGTTTCTGGCTGTCCGTTTCCCTGAGAGGAGCCTAAATTCCTCCCCTGAAGCTACTTATGTACAAAGGGATGGGAGATAATTTGAAGATTTGCCACCAGCCTCCCTGGTATTACTGTTATAAAGAACTAGATACACGCAATGTGTTTTCAATCCTACTGGCTTCCCCCAAGGCAGATGCGATGTTTACGGGCAACTTGCAAGCGTGCGGAGAAGGGGAAGTCTCCGTGCTGACGGCCAGTACCTGTTTCAAAACTGCTACTTGAGACTTTACGGACCAAGCAAACGGGCTGCAACACGCAGATGTAGAAACAAGACGAGACGTGCCCTCTGACGACATCTGTGTGAGATAAAGGGAGTCGCAAAAAGCTTCCTTTGTAACCTCAGATTTGCATGATTTGCTTTCTCCACCGAGGAGGGGAAGTGCCGCAGAATAAAT